TGGAGTTCGATCGATTGAATTGTGGATTACACTCAACACTTAGAAAAATTTTCGACCTGCATCCACCTGCATTCAAATCACCTCTCTGTTCGATCAATCAAACTTCATCTCCAGATCGATCTGAAGTTCTTCGATCAATCCAACTATCCAGTTTGATCGATCTTAAGTTTTGACACTTAGAATATTTTTGAGCCTGCAGAACCCACATATTTCAGCTCTCTGTCCCATCGTTCGAATTCATTCTGAGATCGATCATAGAACATTCGATCGATCCAACTTCATAGTTCGATCGATCTCAAGTTCTAACACTTAGCCAAATTTTTGAACCAAGAACCTGCATATTTTTACTCTCTGTCTGATCGATCGAACTTTTGTTCTGATCGATCTCAATTTTCATTTCATTGTTTGACTTTGTTTTTGACTTTTCAAATTTCAAAAATCCAAAAATATTTATTTATTTATTTTATTTCCATTTTTATTTTCCAAAAATACCAAAAAGATTTTATTTTATTTTTCAAAATCCAAAAATATTTTCCATTTTTCAAATTTAATTTTTAATTTTAGTTTTTAATTATTTTTAAAAATATATATATATACTTTGAAGAGAGAAGTTCGATCGATCTCAGTTGAGATTCGATCGAACATTTTTAAAAACAGATCTGAAAGTTATGAGATCGATTCCAAAGATCGATCTCAACTTTCTCAAACCCTAACCCCCATCTTTCTCAAGTCGCCGTCACTGTTCACCATCTCCGGCGAGATCCAAGTTTGAAATCTCTCTTTTTCATCTCGGTTCTCAACCCCTCTTCGTATTTCATCTATTCTTTCTTCAGTTGAGGTAAGATCCGAGCATCTTATATTGATTTTAAGCTTCGATTTCATGTATCAATGTTTTAAATGTCATATCCATGATATCTTGATGCTTAAATCCTCCATTGATGAAGCTTCGAAGCATTGTATATATGTGTATATATATGTATATATATTTGTATATATTTTGTGTTTTTATTCGATTTTGGAGTATGGGCCATGTTTGGGTGATTATTGTTGTTGATTTGATGTGTTGTAGGGCCCACGAACACGTTCGTGTGGGCCCCGTGCTTCCATCGTCACAGATCTGTGACTTTTCAGTTTTCATCGTTGTACAGTTCGATCGATCGAACTTGTGTCCTGATCGATCTAAGTAAGATCGATCTCACTTCTCTTCCGATCGATCGAATTCCACAGATCTCATATATACACTTCATTCATCATATTTTACATTTATGCTATCTTATATATGCCCAATGCCTGTGATATTCCACATTGGATGAATTTCATACTTATATTGTGTAGCATGATTCATAGTCTATCACCTCCATAGATTCATGTCATATATGTTTTGTCTATCTTATTTGACATGCATGTTTCTACATTGTGCTCCAAATTCTTTATTCCCGCACTAACTTTCATCTTAAGATCTACTTTTGCAGATCATGGCTCAAACTGATAGTTCCTCTGCTTCGGACGCACCTGCAGCTCATGATCAGTTAGCTAGACTTGAAGCCCAAATGTAGCTTTTGGAAGACACCATGCTTGCCATTAGAGCTGACTTTGCTAGCTTCCGTGCGGAGATCTTAGCTGCCATTGAAGACTTAACCAGGGCTATCCGCGGAGCTCGTTCTGCTAGCCCGGACTCCTCCGATTGAGACTCCCAATCTCTTTATCTTTTTATGCTCTATATCTATGCTAAGTGTCGTCTACACATGTGACAGTATTATTATTTTTGCAGCCGAGTTTGTCGGCTTTGAACATTAGATGTACTGCACTTTATTGTTCTTTTATCTATGATGGATACTGCATACTTTTATTGATATATCTATTCATTTACCTCCATCAGGTGCATCCCAGTGATTTTAGTAAGAGAGTGCTACCCTATTTTCAGGACCACCCTTATACCTCTCTCACTTCTTTATCTGTTTATCCCATTTACACTTGCATGTCCACTGTTCACTAATTATCCCATCTTGTTATCTGATAAGTTTATCCAAGTGCCATATTTTCAGGACCACAGTCTATCCCAAGTTTGGGGGGGCCATGCCACCGACTTCGGATACTTCAGTCCCGATCATTCTATGCCTTAGTTGTACTGGTATACTCTTTCCTTTGTTCTCTTTGCACATTGAGGACATTGTGCCATTTAAGTTTGGGGGGAATGGTGCTTTGCAGCATTTGCTTTAAATTGCATATCTTTTGAGCATGACTTGTGTATTTGAGGGATATTTCTATGATTGGTCCATGACTAGCAATGATTTTGATCTTTTGAGGACTATATTGCTTAAAATTTAAAAATTGCTTGACTTGAGATTCCAATACTCCTTGTATGCCTTATGGATGCCATTTAGGAGTAAATTTTTCGAAAGATTAATATCTGGCTTGCACTTGTGGTCCACATCATCCTGATTTTGTGATTGTTTTGAGATTCATTCTAGGATTCTATACTAGCACCGGCACACACTAGCATTCATTTGTGGGGTACATGCTTTGTTGATTATTGAATTGGTTATATCCCAATTGGGCTAGTAGTGCATTGAAAGCTTTCATTCTTGATAAAGGTGGATAACAACCCCTTTTCACTAAGTAGCTGGGATTCTAGCCTCATCAAGCACTGAACTTCTTGCGCTGAAAGGTGGAGGGCCCAAACTCTAGGTTAATAATTGAATTGATTCAAAAAATAAAAATAATAAAAAATTAAAAAATTAGAAAAAAATAAAAAGTGAGGATTTTTCCCAAAAGGTGAGAAGTGGAAAATGATTAGATGGAGATTGTCTTGATTTGTAGCCTAGTTGATTTGAGCTTGTAAGTCCGTAGGGGTATTTAAATGCCTAATGCCCTAAAGCCGTCTGGTTTGGGAGTCATTGACCTAACACTCGATCTCATGAATTACTAGAAAGCTTAATAGATCAACACATTGCACCATGCTTTCATCTTTGATCCTAAAAAAAAAAGAGAGAGAGTGAAAAGAACAAGCGCACCTAGATCAATAAATCTTTAATAAAAGGTCCACTTTTTGTTTTGATGATCGGTACTAGATTTATGTGCTAGTTTAATGGTAAGGATGTGATTAATTCTTTAGTTGGCTAAGATAGCAACACATTGATGCCGGTCCACTCAAAAACGATTCTAGAGTTGTTTTGATTTGCATGATCATTTTCTTGATGTGTGGAGGACCATATTTGCTTACTTGATATTGAAATTTTGGGAGATTGCTTAGAAAGGGTTGAAAAATTACATACTTGAGGTAGTTTTCTCCCAATACTTGTTTGCAATATTGGTGCTTTCTTTAGAAAGAATGAGCTTAATGTTTGTGGGTATCATTTCTGGAAACCCTCATGAGACTTCACTCGTTCACATGCACACATATACATTACAATACTGACAAACGTGCACACATATACATTACAATAATTTATGATTAAAAAAAAAAAAAACCATTACAATAATTTTCACATAAACCCAACACAGAGCCATGTCCAGTTTCCTTCACCGCCACCTGCCGCGTCCCTGCACCTTCCTCCTCCTCTACCACACCCTCAAATAACCCTTCAATTACCACAACCTCACCGGGATCCGGCGACGGCTTCGGCCATGTACAGTTTCCTCCACCGCCAAGTTCACCGCCACCTGCCATGCGCGTCGGCGTTCCTCCATCTCCCTCCTCTACCACACCCTCAAACAACCCCTCAATCCCCAACGTTGGCGAAGCCGTTGCCGGATCAGTTCGATCTTTGTACATATATATATATATATGTATGTATATCACTTCTACAACCATAATCACCACCCAATCCACTTCATCACCGCCACCCAATCCGACCCACAACCACCACTTCTACCACCATCATCACCACCCAATCCGACCCTCGACGAGCCTAATTGAACCAAGAGGAACCGTAAATCAAACCCAATTCACACACACAAAGACACATAGTATCTCTCAAATCCCCAATCCGAAATCCCATACATATATACTCACAGGTTTCACTCTCCTGTGATGAGAAGTGAAGTGAGAAGGAGATGATGCCTTCAACAGCTGCAACTGCGTTTGAGTTCGATTGACTCAGTGACCGGTTCGTACTATGGAGGTCCTGTCCTCGGAGTATCTGTGCGTGAGGTGTGACCGGGCTCCATGGTCGGGTCAAGATCGGGCTCCATGGTCGTGTCCTCAGGCTTTGCGCCACCGGTCATCGAGTTTGGTGAAGATTGAGAGGTTGGGTATGTGGTTGATGATGAGGGCGAAAGTAAAGGTGGTCTTGGGTTCGGATCTGGTATTGGCTGATTTGTGGTGGTGGTGGTGGTGGAGGTGAAGGTGAAGGTGAAGGTGGGTGGTGGTGGGTCTAGGTTGGGGTGGTTGTGGACGTTGCGGTGGTGGCGACCGGTGAGTGGAGAGAGAGAAAGAGGTGGTGGCCGGTGGTGGGTGATGTTATAGATAGAAAATTGTATACATGTGGTTGTATTTTCAGTTTTGTCATTTTAGGTGGTCAAAGGTATATTTAATAAAAACTAAACTCTAAACTAATAATTTATTTATAAATATATGAATAAAATATATAATAATATATTATATTATTATTCTGTGACATATCTATGCAACTCCAGTATTTAGACGTTGTAATTTGGTTATATATAACTGGCAAAAAAGTTGACTGATGCAATTAAGTTCTTTTCTTGGTTTCTTCCCTTAATTTGCTTTCTATGGCATGAATCTTTCAAGAAAGTTGTAGATAGACAGGTTTTGAAGCATCTTTTAGCTTTTAAAATTCAAAGCTGATAGAATTTTCAGCTGTGGGTCCTCCATCCAATGGCCGAGGAACCTTCCGCCTCCCCATTTGGTTCAAAGTTTTGGGCTTTTTGTGAAGACATAGGAGGAAATGGAGAGTTGATATGCACTACGTTTGAATCTTCGGATATTGTCACTCACAAATTCCATCTTCACCAAACAAGGAACACTCAACACAGCCATGGTACGACCAAGCTTAACGACTCTTCTTCTAATCCCCGTTCTTATATTTTACTGTTCTTGTAGTATAGAATTTTGCACCGCCATAGACACAATTACATCTACTCAACCCATCCATGACCCTCAAACTATAGTCTCCAGTGGTGCCACCTTCAAACTGGGATTTTTTAGCCCTAGTGTTAATTCTACTAATCGGTATGTTGGTATCTGGTACAATGATATCTCTGCCAAGGCTGTGGTTTGGGTTGCGAATAGAGATACACCTCTGAATGACTCCTCCAGGATTAAGACAATATCCGAGGATGGTAATCTTGTGGTCCTGAATGGACAGAAACAGATTGTTTGGTCATCAGATGTTCCGAATGCTTTGGTGAATTCAAGTGCTCAGCTTTCAGATTCTGGGAACCTTATGTTGCGAGATGATTCCAATGGAAACATAATATGGGAGAGTTTTGAACACCCTTCTGATTCTTTCTTGCCGGAGATGAAAATTAGTACTAACAAGTTTACAGGTAAGAAGACCCAGTTGACCTCATGGAAAAGCCCTTCAGTTCCATCCAGTGGAAGGTACAGTTTTGGCGTCAATCCTACGAATATTCCAAAAGTATGTGTTTGGAATGGTAGTCTTCCATATTGGCGGAGAGGTCCATGGAATGGGCAGATTTTTATTGGCATGCCTTACATGTCGTTTGCATACTATAGCAGATCTGAAGTTGCAGATGATAAAAGGGGAAATGTATATATGGGTTACACTTATGCAGATAAGTCTTCTCATTTATACCTTACCTTAAGTTCTAATGGATCTCTAATGGAGAGGTACTGGGAAAAAGGAAAGGAGACTTGGGAAACTACGTGGGTGAGTCAAAATAGTGAATGTGAAGCATATGGCAAGTGTGGTCCATTTGGAAGCTGCAATGCGAAGGGTTTGCCAATTTGCAAATGTTTACAAGGGTTTGATCCGAAGGATATAGAGGAATGGAGTAGAGGGAATTGGGCTAGTGGATGTACAAGGAGGCGGCAATTGCAGTGTGAGAGATACAATAGTGGTGGTGGAAAAGGCAAACAAGATAGGTTTTTAAAGCTCAAGACAGTGAAAGTGCCAGCCTTTGCTGCGTCGGTATTTGCTTCAGAAGACAACTGCAAAAGCCAGTGCTTCAATAATAATTCTTGTATAGCTTATGGATATTATAGCGGCATTGGTTGTTTGCAGTGGAGTGGACAATTAATTGACATATAGGAACTCTCCTATGGTGGGGCAGATCTTTACATACGTGTGTGGCATATTCAGAACTTGGTATTGTTTTTTCATCATCCTTAGAAAAAGAATGTGCCTCTTTTTCTGCGTCTATTTATTTTACTTGTTGATTCAGATAAGCAAATATCACTTGAAAATAAACCAATGCACATACTTAACACATTAGCCACCTGATATCCGTGAACTGGTTTAGAAAATGGTTAAATCTTTTTTAATAGTATAAGTGTAATAAATTTTCTCATTTGCCTACAGAAAAGGAGAGCCATGGAAATTGTCTAAATTCTCAGCTCTTTGAGTTAAATCCATATTAACTCAAGTACTTTCTCAATGTTTGTTGTGTTTTACAGAAAAAATGAGAAGCACAAAACTAGTTATCACAATTGCAGTTCTCATAGGATCAGTAACCATTGCAATCTGTATCTATCTTTCCTTGAGTTGGATGGCTAGACCACGCGGTATATGCTCGTTAAAATTAGCTCAATAAATTAGCACATATTTGTTGTTATTATATGGATAACCTATTACTAAATTCTGAATCTAGAAGGATGAAAAAAAGTGGGAAGTTATTTAAAAGAGGCGAAATCGATGCAGATTGTTCAAATGAAAGCATGCTTGGAGATGATCAGAACCAAATAAAACTTGAAGAGCTACCTCTATTCAGTTTTGAGAAGTTGGCAATTGCAGCAGATGATTTTGATGGGGCCAATAAGCTCGGGCAGGGTGGTTTTGGTCCAGTGTACAAGGTAATGCTTTTTCATCGGGAACTATATGTTGTACCAACCCAAAAAGAAAAATAAATAAAAAATATCATTTTCATCTTTAATTTCGGGAAAAATTGGCAAGTAGACAAGATATAGCTGTCAAACGGCTTTCAAGATCCTCTGGACAAGGGCATGAGAAGTTTATGAATGAGGTTGTGGTAATTTTCCCACTCCAGCATCGCAATCTTGTTAGGCTTCTTGGTTGCTGTGTGGAAGGAGAAGAAAAGATGTTGATCTATGAATACATGCTAAATAAAAGCTTGGATGCATTTCTCTTTGGTTGGTTCATGATAAAAGCTCTTGTTGTTATTTTTAGTTATTTCAATTTCATAACCTTAACATCAGTAGAAACTTTATTGTGTTTAGAAGACAGAATTATTTTCTAGTTATTTCAATTTCATAACGTAAACATCAGTAGAAACTTTGTTGTGTTGAGAAGACAGAATTGTTTGTGAACATGCTGATGTACTAAAACTTTAAATTCCATCTAAATATCAATATAACCCAATTTTTATTTATTTATTTATTTATTTTTTGCAATATTCTCTTAAGATCCAATCAAGCAAAAACTCTTATTAGAGAAAACGTGCCAACATTATTGAAGGGATTGGTCGAGGACTACTTTACCTTCACAGGGATTCCAGATTAAGGATTATTTATAGAGATTTGAAGGCTAGTAATGTTCTATTGGATGCAGATCTAAATCCAAAAATTTTAGATTTCGGCATAGCAAAGATTTTTGGAGGGAATCAGGACCAAGCAAACACTAAAAAGGTTGTTGGAACTTAGTAAGTAGTCTTTGCTCTGTCCAAAATGGTTAATCATTCATGTTATAATCCTTTTTTCTCATGGGATATATAGTTCAACTCAAATATTTTTACCATTTGGCCTGTAATGACACAATGCAGCGGCTATATGGCCCCTGAATATGCAATAGAAGGGAAATTCTCTGAAAAATCTGATGTGTTTAGCTTCGGAGCATTGTTGTTAGAGATTTTAAGTGGGCAAAAGAACACTAGCTTTTATCATGATGAGCACTCTTTAAGCCTTCTGGGATTTGTAAGTTCACTTGAACTATTGCCTGAGTTATTCATATAGTTCCTTTTAATCTTTCTAATTCCAACATTTCATGATTGTGGAATGTGTGTCTGAGTTACTCTATACTGTGTCTAGGCATGGAAGTTGTGGGATGAAGATAGGATTGCAATGCTAATAGATCCAACAATTTCTGATCCATGCTTTCAAGTGGAGATCTTGAGATATATACATGTAGGACTTTTGTGCGTGCAAGATTTCGCCACTGATAGGCCTACTATAAATACTGCTCTTTTCATGCTTAGTAGTGAAGTTCCAAAACTTCCAACTCCAAAGCAACTTGCATTTATTGAAACACGGGGTTTGTCAAATGTACGGTCTTCTCAACAAAGCCAGATGAAATATTCTGTGAATGATGTAACTGTTACAATCATTGACGGTCGTTTGCATGCAAATTTTTGTGTTTTTTTTTCTCTTACTATATAGACCCTTAATTGCTCTCTAATTGAATATAAATAATATAGTTTTGTTTTACATAATTCTTTCATCCACCCAATTCAGAACTAAATGTTTGCCTTTATCCTACCATATTGTTTCTTTTGAGAAAATCCTGTGTGTATTATTCACTCAAATCTTCTATTCTTTGTTTTTAATTAGCCAACTGTGATACAAATTTTAAGTCATAAGGCAACAACAACTCAGCATAAATGGATCTTCTTCAAAACCTTGTCGTACTTTACTATTTCTGTTTAGAGTTCTACATAGCCATGGACAAAATTACATCCGTTCACCCCATTAATGGCCCTTGTGTTAGGAAACGCGCAAGTTTTAAAACTTTTCGAGGGATTTTAATTCATTGATCTTGATTCATCACATAGAGACAAGTTTTATGTAAAAATAAAACATGATGTATCATTCAATTAAAAGATTGAATACTTACATCAAGGTTTGAGTAAACCTTAGATCTCTCCTCTAAAGTGAATGTTCTCACTTATTCTAGATCCCTTTTGCTAGACACCTTTTCCATGGATCTCCATCTACTTGGTAATGGTCTTGCCTTTAGGAATCACTCATAAGCCTCCATGAATGACCTTGGAAAATTAGGCTTGTGGGAGCCTCCATTAGATGAGAACATTAACCCTAATTTTTTAGAGAGAGAAAATAGATTCCTTTTTCCTTCTTCCAAAAATTACCCCAAAATATACATAGACCATGTATATATATAGGCCACATAAAGATAAAGATAAAGAAAAGGAAACAATAAATCCTTCTCAATCTCTAATTCACATGTCTCAAATCTAATAGGATTCCAATATCAAGTTAGGCTATGAGTGAGAATCCTTTGGGCTTATTATTTTATTGGCTACAATGAATTAATAATTGGCCCGATCCATGGACCCAATTAAATTAATTCATAAATTAATTTCTACTCCACTAAAAGAAATTAATTGAACTCCAATTAAATAATAAATAACCTCTAGTCAATGTTGCACTTTGACCCCTCTATGCATAATTAGTTATCGGATAAATAAAGCCTTTAATCCGACTACTTAATTAATATATTTATTTTGGTACCTTTGATTATTTCTGACTCGATCACAATGAAACATTTGTTTGACAAAAATAATTATTTAGATAAATAAATATATAATAAATCATTTTGTTTAAAAACACACGAAGGCCTTCGAATTTACTTTGTGATCAAGCATAATCAATACAAAATAAATATAAGTAGCAATGATGCAAATATTGAAAATATAACCCTCTAACTATTAATTACATAATTACCCAAAGTGCTAGTCTAAGGATTCCGAAGATTCCGCCGAATAAATCAAAGTAATTACTAATTAATAAAAGGGTCTATACTTCTCTCATGCTTAAGAGTCAAATGCCATGACGGTGATAGGGAGCAATTGCATACGATGGCTCTCGCAATATATCTCAACCTAACGCGGTCTAGTTCAAGTCTTAATTAATTATGAGTCCATCCATAATTACCGACTATGAACAATTTATGATTACTATTTATATTCATGTATTGATCGCCATCACATACATATATAAATATCTCTTGTAATCAAGTGGACACTATCAATTCTATAATGAATCAAAACATAATATATTGAATTCACCAATTATATAAATCATAAATATTTCAGATATGTCAGGAACATATGTCACTATAATCCAGATAGGAATTTGCTATGACAGGGCATATAAATCCCAACAGCTCCCACTTGCCCTCATAGCCAATTCAAATTGCATCTAACTCCAATGTTATCTAGGTATTGATCAATACTATTGATCGATGACACCTTTGTAAATGGATCAACAAAGTTGTATTCCAATGCAATGTCCTAGCCATGAGTACATATTCTTGTCGGACAATATCATGTAGGACATGATATTTTCCTCTCAGTGTACTTTGTTCCTCTATGGAACCTTGGGTCATTTGTTTAGACTACTTCTACATTATTGTCACAATATAGCTCGATAGGCAGGCTAGTATGCTCCATAACCTCTAAATCAGTGAGATCAAACCAAAAGGCTTCCTTTACTGCCTTTAAGACTGCAATGTATTCCACCTTCAGGTTTGAGTCAGCAGTTGAAACCTGCTTAACAATCTACTAACTGATTTCCCCTCCATTGAGTGAACATACACTAAGTCATGAACCTCATAGTATATACTTCTGATTTAAAAACAGAACTATCATACCTGACTAGAACCACATCATCACATCCATAAATGAGTATGAGATCATTGGTTCTCTGAGTTTAGACTGATATCTACTGACTATCCCTACCATATAGCGGATGTCTTGTTTGGTATAGACCATGGCATATATGAGACTCCTATATGCCGAAGCATATTGTTCGAGTCTCATTTGCTCAATCTCCTCTGATAATCTTGGAAAATTATTTACTAGAGAGAGCAATCCATGTCAATAACGCAATAACTCATTCTTTGAGTTTTGCATACCAAACCTGGTCAAAACTTTATCCATGTAGGATTATTAAAATTAGCCTATTTTCCTTTTAACCTGATCTTATAAAAGCTTGATCCTAGGAATATAGCTTACATCTTGAAAATCCTTCATTTCAAAATAATTAAACAACTACCTCTTTACTAATGACAAAACTTTCCATATCATACTAAATGAGTAGGATGTCATCAATATATATAGAATTAGAAAAATAATGACATTCCCTTATACACTCATGATTTAATTACTAAGAAATCTTCTGGTATCCTTTTGTAGATTATCTTGCATTCCATAGGTATCACCCTACTAGAAAGTTCTACAAGATCCCTGATTTTATTAGAATACATAGATTCTAACTCTGATTTCATAGCAACTAGCCAAAACGATCTGTATCCATATCGGTTCACGCTTCCGTGTAGCTTACTGGGTCCAACTCATGTTTAACAGGGATATCCATAATGGTCTCACCTAAAAACATGACTCTGTCAGATTGGATGATAATCCTCCCACTACAATAATGTACTGATGCAGGAATCTGTGTATTTGATGATGCTGATGCATCAATAGGGAATTCATATATTATTCTCAATCTCTATAATAAGTGTGTTCACATGTGGTACATCTGGTACTCATACCATATTCTCTAACATTATGCTACTAGGTATGTGATTCATAATATGATCCTCCTATAGATAAAAAGTGAGTGTAACAATCAACTTTTACCATTGAGATCATAAAATAATCCATCCTAGTGCCTTTAGAGTAGCTATCAAATCTATCATGCATATAATCTGTTTCCAATTTACTTGTCCATATCAAGCGCACATGTGCAAAACTACCCCATATGTGCATGTGATTCAAACTAAGATTTAGTCAAAAACACAGCTCAAAAGATATCCTTGAGACAGACTAAGATGGAATGCAATTCATAATGTGCATCGATATCGTTAAAGCTAAACTCTAAAATTGAAAGAGATAATGTAACATAACTGATCATAGATCTAACCATGTTAAACAGAATTCTATTATTCCTATTTGACATCTCAATCCATTGAGCGTCAATTGCGGAAAAACTGGTACACAACACCCTCATTGACCATATAGTCTTTGCACTATCCCAAAAAATACTCATATCCACGATCAGATCAAAGTGTTTTGATATGTTTACCTAATCTGTACTCCACATCAGTCTTGACCCTTTCAGAATATACCAAAAGTTTAAGACTTGTGTCGCTTCGGGTAAATTTATCCAAAACATGAGTAATCTTGCTTGGATGTTCATAAGACCACACGTGTCAATGTGTACCGACTCTAATTGTCCTTTATGTTTATTTCATTTGGCTGATTAAGCCCTTAGAGTTATCTATCCTTCAAAACAAGATTCACAAGTTTAGTTTAGGCTCCTCTGCCCCACTAAGTAATAAACCTTCTTTGACCAATCTTTGAATCTTACTTTGACTGATTATAATCCAATAATAGACCCAAAAAATACAATGAGTCAGGAATAATAAATTTTCTCTTAACATTCAATCCAGAAAATGCAACATTAGTTTCTACATCATGCAAATATTAAGAGCTTGTGATTATAGTATATTAACCATCTTCAATGCACCAGAAGCAATCGCACATCTATTCAATTTTATAAAACCAGTTTTACAAAACAACAACACAATTTTTATAAACCAAAAATGAAACAAGAATTAGATTGCATCTAACATCTATGCATAAAGATAGTTCTCTAATACTAATATCCCCATACTCTCTAATTTTAGATGTAATACTCCCACTGACTTAGCTACAACCTTGGCATCAGGTCAAAAGACAAATATATATTCATATCATCGAGGCTTCTGGATTCTTGAAATCCTTGCAATGAATTGCAAACATGTTTAGTGGCTCCAGAATCTATCCATCAGGAATTAATAGATATAACCACATAACATGGCTCAATGATTAAATATACATTTTCCTATGCCATGTCATTGCTTAGACAATTCATCCTTTAGTGTCTTAGTTTGCGGCAAAAGAAACAGTTTCCTTCACCCTTAACATACATTGCCTTATTCCCTTTAACCTTTTGGATACCAATGTTTTGTGCTATCCTAGTCCTATTATCATCATTCTTCTTTGCTTTGTCCTTCCACTTGAGCCTAGAAGAAGATGGTATAGACTATGTTAGATTAATAAGAACGCCTATACTTTTGATTATCCCTTCATCTGTTACCAATTCTATAAGAATATCAGCGAGTGTAAACTCAAACTGGTTCCTTATTTAGTTCACTCTAAAAGAGTCAAACGAGTTTGGTAACAAGGCAATAATCATGTCAACTTGAAACTTACCACCCAAGTCAGCCTTATTGACCTCCAATTAAATTTTTAAATAATAAACAATCATTTTCAAAATACAATTTCTTACTGGAGTTCCTTAAACTGTCTCAATGGTAAGCAAGTCTGACACAGTACTAAGGCATAAACTCTATCTAATCTCACCAAAACCTCTCATTGATTTTTAACATGATGCTTGAAGAAAATAAAATAATGTAAATGTTAGCTTTAGAGCGTATTCAAGATAAACTCTAGAACATTGCTCTAAGTCATATCATTTACCTTATTTTACTTATTAAAAACATTAATGTTCTCTTGGATATCTTAAAGTAAAAGGATTAGGTTTAGGAGTAATAAATACATTTTGTACCACTACGTTGTGAATAAAATATCTAAGTTCATATTCCAGTCAATATAAATGAGGTCCAAATACATTGAAAATGTTAGCAAGCAGATAAAATGGATTAGACATAATAAATCTGAATATAAATGCATTCATACAATCTGCAAGGTGAATTATTAATACTATCATGCATATTTAAAATTAAAATGAGTTTATTAACCACATAATATAATAAATCTCAAATAGAATAAGAGATCATTATCATTATTGGTAAACAATCCCTTTTAATTAATGTGGGTCCCTCAACATCGTAGCAAAATAAATCATACAATCAATACGTCAATAACTTATCCTGATGGAGGAGTTCATTATTACTATTGTTGGGATTCATTTGCTATTCGGTGAGCACTTCCATTAAAATAATAATATGTGGGTTCCTTAACCACTGCATGAAAAATCGGATAACCAATACGCCAATAACTTATTCGATTGGCGAAGTTCATTATTGCTATTGGCGGGCAAATCCCATCATCTCCATATCTCTTAAGATAATGCCTTGTCTATCTATATAAAATGATTCCCGATTATGTTTAGCCTTTCTAAAATCACCTAGCGTAGACCACTCCGTTGGGGAGCTAACACTATTGATTTTAGATTGAGTGTATAACGTTATTAATGCTTCAATGAAAAATAAAACATTAAATATCTTGTTATTATAATCTAGACTCTTTAAATCATGCGTAGGGCCTTATTTTTAAAGATCTAATTACAATGAACATTTAATATTTTTATTTTCATGAGACAACCATTCTTGTAATATTAAGACTCTTCAAATCATGCGTGGGGCCTTATTTTTGAAGATCTAATTACAATAGTTTTAATAATGAAGGCCATGGGGTAATGTATAAAAATTCCCGCTCCCACTCAATTTTTAATCATTTATAATTAGGTTTTTCAGTTTATTCATTTACATGATGCAATGCATACAAAACAACTTGATCTTAATCCAATTAAATTTAGAAAATATTTGGACTTTTAAATGATTCACTAATCTTTAATTTGAAGCACAATTTAAAAATAATTTACAAAAAATAATTTTTCGTTTCCCAATAAGTGCCCTCAAATTAATTAGTAATCAAATCCAATTAATTTTCATAATTTTATTAATATAAATCAAGTCATTTAATTAAATATCATGGATCCAATGCATGAATAATAATTAATAAACAATTATCTATTCCATGCATTTCATACATCACATAAATAAATAAATAACAGATAAAGCAAATAAAATGGCCAATGGATTTAGCTTTTAACATTTAATTGCTATAAGAATTGCACGAAGGTCAATCAATGGCTTGTGAACTCCTGCAGAGGCTTGTACGCATCCGGATTGGTTAAAACAGCACTTGAAGTAGCAAAACAGCGCGTGACATGCGCTTCCACGCATTGTCAGGCGCCATAGGAAGCAGTAGCCCGTCCACACGCGCCAGGGATCCACGTCAGCGCGTGAGACCCGCCATCACACGCCTGCACGCGCCAGGGATGCGCGTCAGCATGTGAGACGCGCCTACACGCACTCTGAATTTGTTGTAGTCAGCAGCGCGTGATCCTACGCACCTGTATTATTGATGCGCCGCAATTCTTGGCGCGTGAGTCCACTTGCTTCTGGATTGGGTGCGCATGGAGCGCACCCATGGCTGCGAAGCACCGGATCAATCAACCTCTATCTTCATCCAGCGGCTGTACATTCGGTTGTACCTAATTCTGGGTACCGCCAAGCACTGGATCGAACCTTCAACCTGTCGGCAACGCCCTTGCTGCCGGCGACGCTTCGGTCGCCGGAAACTCGCCGAAAATTCCAAGAAAATAATAAAAAAATTCCCAGAAAATTAAATTAAGCCCAAAAAATTCCAGAAAAATTCTGAAAAATTCCAAAAAAATTCTAGAAAATTCCTGAAGCCTAATTTAACCCTTTTGGACCTTCTTGAAGCTTCATAGTATCCTTTGATGAAGATTACATGGCTTTAAATAAATTTACAATTTGAAATACAATGAAAAAAAAATTAAATTACATGATTGAACTTTCAAATGGCTAAATCAAAGCCTTAATTACATTCATCCAAAGATAAAATTACATTCAATATACCTATAAGCTTCATCCATCGCCCAAACACACATCATCATCCATTCACAATTATAAATACATCTTCATGTATCAATATATATCAATATATTAATTCATACATCAACATACATCAATAAATAAATATATGCATATCAAAATTGGATCCATGAATGAAGAATTTTGATAAAAACATGATCTCTAGTAATGAATCAAACCATGCTCTGATACCACTGTTGGGAAACGTGCAAGTTTTAAAACTTTTCGAGAGATTTTAATTCATTGATCTTGATTCATCACATAGAGACAAGTTTTATGCAAAAATAAAATATGATGTATCATTCAATTAAAAGATTGAATACTTACATCAAGGTTTGAGTAAACCTTAGATCTCTCCTCTAAAGTGAATGTTCTCACTTATTGTAGATCCCTTTTGCAAGACACCTTTTGCATGGATCTCCATCTACTTGGTAATGGTCTCGCCTTTAGGAATCACTCATAAGCCTCCATGAATGACCTTGGAAAATTAGGCTTGTGGGAGCCTCCATTAGATGAGAACATTAACCCTAATTTTCTAGAGAGAGAAAATAGATTCCTTTTTCCTTCTTCCAAAAATTACCCCAAAATATACATAGACCATGTATATATATAGGCCACATAAAGAAAAAGATAAAGAAAAGGAAACAATAAATCCTTCTCAATCTCTAATTCACATGTCTCAAATCTAATAGGATTCCAATATCAAGTTGGGCTATGAGTGAGAATCCTTTGGGCTTATTATTTTATTGGTTACAATGAATTAATAATTGGCCCGGTCCATGGACCCAATTAAATTAATTCATAAATTAATTTCTACTAGACTAAAAGAAATTAATTGAACTCCAATTAAATAATAAATAACCTCTAAGTCAATGTTGCACTTTGACCCCTCTATGCATAATTAGTTATCGGATAAATAAAGCCATCAATCCGACTACTTAATTAATATATTTATTTTGGTGCCTTTGATTATTTCTGACTCGATCACAATAAAAAATTTATTTGACAAAAATAATTATTTGGATAAATAAATATATAATAAATCATTTTGTCTAAAAACACACGAAGGCCTTCGAATTTACTTTGTGATCAAGCATAATCAATACAAAATAAATACAAGTAGCAATGATGCAAAAATTGAAAATATAACCCTCTAACTATTAATTACATAATTACCCAAAGTGCCGGTCAAAGGATTCTGAAGATTCCACCGAACAAATCAAAGTAATTACTAATTAATAAAAGAGTCTATACTTCTCTCATGCTTAAGAGTCAAATGCCATGACGGTGATAGGGAGCAATTGCATACAACGGCTCTCGCAATATATCTCAACCTAACGCGGGTCCAGTTCAAGTCTTAATTAATTATGAGTCCATCCATAATTACCGACTATGAACAATTTATGATTACTATTTATATTCATGTATTGATCGCCATCACATACATATATAAATATCTCTTGTAATCAAGTGGACACTATCAATTCTATAATGAATCGAAACATAATACATTGAATTCACCAATTATATAAATCATAAATATTTCAGGATCATATGTCACTATAATCCAGATAGGAATTTGCTATGACATGGCATATAAATCCCAACACCTTGATAGTACAGTCTCCACTGGTTCACAGAATATGTAGAAATCTGGTATGGAGTATATAACAATGTCTCATTTAGCGGTGTGGTGTGGGTCGCAAACAGAGACAAACCTCTTCATGATTCTTCTGGGAGTCTGGCTATATCTGAAGACGGTAACCTTGTGGTCATGGATGGAAAGAAACAGATTGTTAATGTTGTATAGTATTTGCACTGTTAATGTTGTAGATGATAAAGAATGAACTGTGTATGTGACTTACTGGACTACAAATGTAACTTTGTTGTACTCTTTCTTGAATTTCTGTTGGAATTTTGGTGGCAAAGTACTTCGATGTTGGAGAGAAGAATTTGAAAGATGCACGATTGGCTCAAAAAAATGAATGTGACATTTATGACAAGTGTGGTTCGTTTGGAAGCTGTAATATGCATGATTCACCTGTTTACAAGGATATGGAGGAATGGAGTAGAGCAAACATTTTCAGTGGTTTTCGAAGTTGAAGACGTTGAAAGTACCGGTCTTTACAGGCTGGTCAGCTCCATTGGAGGATAACTGTAAAAGCGAGTGCTTGAATAATTGTTCTTGTATAGCAATGGAGTGGAAAATTAATTGACATACAAGAATTCTCCAATGGTGGGGCTGATCTTTACATTCGTGTTGTATACTCGGAGCTTGGTAATATGCATCTGCCTCTACTTTATGATCATGTAATTTAATATGTGCTTCAGCATTAGCATAAATTTTTTTTAATTTACTACATAAGTCGATAATGAATTCTCAATTATTTCAGTTCCAGTCCTTCAAATTGCAATCTACAATTTTCTTTGTAGGTGGATGACTAAACCAAGAGGTATAATTCAGGGGCAAAAAAAAAAAAAAGGCAAAAATGTTAGCTTCTTGGAATGTAACGAGCTTAAACAAGCCCAGAAGGCAACGTGAAGTGCAAAATTGGATTCAGAAGAATGCTTCTCAGGTTGTCTGTTTAGTTGATACTAGGATGAAACTGCATAAATTCAAGAAAATAAATAGAACTTGGTCTTAGATTCATAATTACTCTCTCCCCTAATGGGCAGATTGTGGGTGGGATGGAACCCCTTACTATTTGTTGTTGATGTGATAGAATAATGTGGGTATGTTCTAACACTCATGGCGAGAGGTTGAAGTAGTAGGATTGCATTATTCACTATGCTGGGTTGATAAGTGGGCCTCGGATCACTTTGGGTGATTGGAATGCCACAAGATTTCATGATGATAAGAGTGGAGGGTGCCTTAAAGGTTGTTGGATCAGTTTAATCACACTCTTCAACAAGCTGCTCTTATGGAATTGCCATCTTCTAATGGTGAATGGAGCTGGTGTAATAGACAGAGCAGGTCTAAAAGAATTTTAGTTAAACTGGATAAGGTATTCATCAATGCAAATTGGTTAGATAAATTCCCTGGGACTAAGGTATCTTACTCTACTGCAATTTGCTCAGATCATTATGGTGTATTGGTTCATGTTTTTAATCAATTTGCTAGTGGACCTAAACCTTTTAAAATGTTGAAAGTTTGGTGTTTACAAGAGGCAGTTCTACCATTAGTTCAACAGGCTTGGGAGGTTGTTGTTCAGGGCAGTCCTATACATATCTTATTAAAGAAACTTAGAAATGTCAAGAAGGACATTAAAGAGTGGAATAAAAATTGTTATGGTAGTGTGGGAGATCGAGTCATTCAGGCCAAACAACAATTGGAAGATGTTTAATTACAGTTGTTGTCATCTCCTATAGATGGCAACTTCATTCTAGAGCAGCAATCAAGAGTCAGATGAAGAAGTAATGTTGGCTCAGAAATCTAGAGCTCTATGGCTCTTAGAAAATGATAGGTGTTCTGCCTTCTTTTGTCAAAAGATGAAACAATACAGAAACATAAGTGCTATCACTCACATTACCAAGGATAATGGGCAGTATTCTTCTGAGATTGATACCATCAAAGAGTGGTTTGTAGAATACTATCAACAGATGTATCTTAGCAGAGAAGTTGCTCAAATGAACTTTGTTTCTCATCAATAGTTGAATTTACAAGATGTTATGGAGCTTCACACTGAAGTTACTAAGGAAGAAATAAAGGTGGTCATTATTGATTTTCAGTTTTACATGCTCTCTGGACCAAACCATCTAATCAGTTAGATGAAATCATGTAACCGGTTAGATGAGCTAGTATTTGCACTTTGGCTCCAGACTTCAGTATAAATACCTAAATATCCCCAGACTTCAACCAAAGCATAGAATGGCCATAAAAAATGTCAACTTTACCCCTTAGCAATTTTGAAGCCACAATGAACGTACTAAATGACTATTTTTCCCTTTTGTGTCTTAAACCATTATTTGACCACGGTAAATGACTATTATAATCTTATGGACTCTAGAACTATTATAATGATGTGAAATGACTTTGGTATCCTTGTGTAACCTCAGGTTCGGGTAAGGACCCAGTTAGCAATCCGGATCCCCAGGTTTGGGTTGCTACACAAGCGGAGCTTTAGTGTATTTGGGCTCGATTCATCATAGTCCAAGAGGTGTTCGAACTCGATTGAACCATGAGTGCCATGGTCGAGCTTACTCTATGTGTATATCTTTCATCGATCAATGTTTGATCTCGAAAGTCTCACAAATTTCAACCACTCATTCAATATGAAGAGAATAGAGAATTGAGAAGTGAAAGTAGATGAGATAAAGCCAATCTTACTCATTTGAGAGTATTAGCATTTGGAGAGGTCAATGATTAGTGGTTCCACTTTTTTGGTTAGTATTACCGGCTACTACTGCTATAATCGTTGTGAGCTTAGGGAAGGGTCAATTTTGCCGTTAGGTTTGTGAGTGGGGAGAACGAGAATGTGATTAGGGTCTAGATAGATTAAAGGGGGAATGAGCTTGGGAATTAAGGAATGGGCATATATGGATTAGTTTTATATTCAAAAGAAGGAATAATATAATAAATTTGGATGGATTATGATGTTGAGATTAGGCTTATAAAATACGAAAATAATTAAATACCTATTATAGCTTATAAAAATATGAAATATAAGATATACACATATATAAAATCAAACAAAAGGGAGGATAGGATTTAGAAAACTCGAAGCTAATTTCCAAAAAGAAAATTCTCAAAACCTATAATGATGTTTTGTTCTCAATTAATATGCTTGGAATTTTCAGGTGACTAAAAAAGGTTGGCTAGTAAATCGTTGACAAAAGATGAACATCATAAATGATTTTCATGATAAAGTATGATGAATGATGTGACATGTGAGTTGTGGTATAGTAAAGATAAGATTGAGTAAGTGTCCAGCCACATATTATTGTGTAATGCCATGATTAATGAAAAAAAAGAGAGAGAGAGAATGAAAGCTAAGGCGAAGAAAGAAAGAAAGAAAAAAAAGGTAGCTGAATTATTTAGGAAAAAATAAAATAGGTAAGTTGAATGGAAAAGAGAAAGTGACGTAAAAAAAAAAAAAAAAAAAAAAAAAAAAAAACATTGTTGTAATGCAAATCTATAAATCTACATTGTTTAAAGTCCAATACTTCTCATCTTGCTCATTTTTGAACGCCTAGTTAAGAGCTTCTCCATTGGCGTAGTATCTAGTCCACTTGGCCCATTCTCATTAAAGGAATTCACTGGTGTGTTGGAAATGGCAAATCTCAAAAGCCCAACTTACCACCGGTGTTATGGGGAAAAAATATATATATATATACAACTTGGGGAGTGTGATCCATTTTGCCTTAAGTGAGGTGAAATGTTTAATATACCCTGACACGTATTTTCATCTCACTTACAATGACCAAACTAGCCTAAGTAATATCCATGTATACATTTTGTACAAAGTGTTACTCTCTCTTATCTCGCAATTGTTAGCACCACCAACTCGTCTTTTCTGCAGCAAATGCAACAAACTCTCCCATACTAATTCTCACTGCCCTCAAAGCATCAATGACCATAAGAAAATTGATGCTGCCCCAGTCAACAACACCCCCCTCCAAAAAGATCACTCCACACCTACTAATCCATTAAACACCACATGGATCACAGTTAGAAAAAAACCAAAGAATGCATTAGTAACTGCCCCATCCACTGCTATCCAACCCTCGATTCCTATTACTACAAACAAATTTTCCACATTATCCCAAATTCAACCACATCCCCTAGCTCAGGTTAACATTATTCCTCCAACCGCTCCCTTATCATCTCACCAATCCTCTACCTCAACCAGCCCCCCATCACCACATACCATTCACCACTCCCGCCTTTGCATTAAGAAACTAAACTTCTCACATTTCAACAGTCCCTTACCCAATCAACCATTACAGAAAACCATTTCCTCTATGCCAACCACACACTTTACCATCCTATCCAAATCTCAACTTTCTTCATTTTCCCCCATTACTTTTCCCCAACAGAGGAAAAAGTTTGGACTTCAGAGATTATGAACCATCCCAGCACGATGTTTGAATCTCACCTTGAATTCAACTCCACCATCCCACACCCTTTACTATAATAAGGCTATCTGCTCAAGCCCTATTGTCTCTTCATTGAGTGAACCAAATAGCTCGGACTAACTTGTCAACAATGGCAAGATGACAGTCAGAAACTTGAAAAAGGTTGCTAGAAGGAAGTCATGTAGCAGCTCATATTTGATGTCAAATGGATCAACCAGTGGCCAAAGACATCTTGGAGGTTTTTTTACTACACCCTTTAACTGATAAACTTTACAACATGGAATATTAGAGGGTTGAATCAACCCTTTGAACAGTCAGAGATTAAGGGTCTTATCTCTGACAAGAAGCTGCATTTAGTCTCTATTGTGGAAACCAAAATTGCTCCACCTAATATGAATATAATCTATAGATTATTGGGGATATTGCTCACAATTATAACTATTCACATCTAGGTAAAATTTAGGTTATGTGGAACCCTAGTATCATTGATCTCTCAATCATAGACATCAGTTTGCAAGCAATTCACTGTAAAATTTCAATCATAGGTCATAGTATCAGTTTCTTTAAAAGTTTTATATATGCTTCTAATAATGTAAATGAAAGGCTGTACCTTTGGGAGAACCTAATCCACCATGCAGGTCTTTTCTCTCATTCACCTTGGTTGCTAATGGGGGACTTTAATGTCATCTCTTTCCCCTCTTTCTTCATTTATTTCTCTCTTCTACATCTCTCTCTCCTTCTTTTCTTATTCTGTTTTCACAATCATTGCAATTCACTTTCCTATTTAAAGTCCTGTTTATCAAGGCAGTTTGAACCTATTTGAGAGTTTAATATTCTTTTTCTTAATCATCTGATCCATAACTTTCTTGCAAAACAGACTCAGTTTGAAATAATCTTTTCACATTTGAACCAAACTGTTGGTTCTAGCACGCCCGCGTACACAAATTTCTGAATCGGCGAAACCCGACGATTTTAGGGTCAACATTCTTGGCATGCCCGGTGGGACATTGGGTAAAAAATAATTATAA